AAGAGTTATATGCAACTTGCAGCCTTTGCTTGATTACTTGAGAGATTTCCATCTTAATGTTTTTGAAGGCTTTTCTAGTACCAAACAAAAATATACAACCCACTGGAAATACTGTATTAGCATTATTAAAAATAACCATTTTTTTCCTTATGTTCATGTTATCTGGCAGACAGAAGCAAAAAGGGCAAAAATTAATTTTCCCTCTTTTCTGGATGTTTTTTTTTTTTTTTTTGTTAGCTGATTTTTTCTGCTGATGTATGCTATTGTCTATATCTTGGGAAATAAGATGATCTATCAAAAGATATCCAGGGCAGCATACTGCAGTGGAAAAACAAGAGCTTACATTTGTCTACCTCTTGCAGATAGCTAGCTGCTGACATATGCATCAGAAGTGTTATTCCCAGAGGTCTGGCAGTTAAATTTTGGCAATCTCTGGCCATTTAATTCTTGAGAAAGAGTTGCTTTGTAGACTAGTATGTCTAAAAATAAAATAAATAAATAAAAAAGGTAAGGCTGTTAATTTTCACTCCATTTCCTAAGGTTGTCTGCGTTCGGCTATAGGGTGTGTTTAATGTGCTTATTTTTATTACCAGCTTGGTTTTGAAAGCATGGTGAACCAAACAAGACTGTTTGTCGTCATGTAGCATAGAACAAGCAAACAGTCCGAGCTCAAAACAGCTTTGGACTCTGTGTATGAAGCAAGCCACAAGAGATGGGTATCGACCCAGGAGAGGATCGCCAGTCATTAGGCTGTAGAATAGCCTCAGGAATTCACCCAGCCTTGGTGATGACTTTTGTAGACGTTGTGGTGAAAGGTGATCTGAAGGAAGATTTAAAGTAGGTGGGCTAATATTCACAGAAAATACTAGTAACTGGACCTTGGATGGTATGATGGGTTACTGAGAGAAAAGGCATTTGTATTGACTGCTTTGCGCCCCGGGGCTGTAGTAGATGTGAACGTGCAGAACGAAGGCTGGTGCATGGAGTGCTGTAATGCTCTGCGGGGCCTTGGGGCTGCTTCTGCTTCAAGGGGCTGAGAAGGGGGGCTAGGAGAGGGGTTCCTGGAGAACAAGTCCTACGAGGAGCGGCTGAGGGAGCTGGGCTTGTTCAGCCTGGAGAAAAGGAGGCTCAGGGACGACCTTATTGCTCTCTACAGGTACCTTAAAGGAGGCTGTAGTGAGGTGGGGGTTGGCCTGTTCTCCCACGTGCCTGGTGACAGGACGAGGGGGAATGGGCTAAAGTTGCACCAGGGGAGTTTTAGGTTGGATGTTAGGAAGAACTTCTTTACCAAAAGGGTTGTTAGACACTGGAACAGGCTGCCCAGGGAAGTGGTGGAGTCACCATCCCTGGAAGTCTTTAAAAGATGTTTAGATGTAGAGCTTAGGGATATGGTTTAGTGGGGACTGTTAGTGTTAGGTCAGAGGTTGGACTCGATGATCTTGAGGTCTCTTCCAACCTAGAAATTCTGTGATTCTGTAAAGAGAGAGCCACCACACAGGAACATTGTGGTCTGAAGCAGTTAGATACAGAGATAAGCAAGTTTTTGAGTATGAGAAATGAAATGCTGCATCTGAAGAAATGCTAGAAGGAATAGCAGGTTTGGGAAGAGGACACAGAGAGATGGAGAGGGATGTTGCGAATGATGGGCAGGGTGGTGAAACTGTCAGCGGCGATGAAAAAGGAGGGAGGAAGGAGGACTCGCTGGGGCGATGCCCTAACAGCTGGCTCTGGTTTGGTTGAAGCCACAATATGGCATCTATAAGAGCCATCGATGCCTTCTAGAAATAACCTCCATCTCCTGTAGTGTAAGGAGGTGTAACTTGTTTTAAAAAAACAAAACCAACTTGTTTCTATTCTTGCTGATTTATTTTTTATATATAACAGCTTCTTTAGTTGCCTTCCTGTACTTTTCGTAGGCATTAGCGCTCTCAGAAGTCAGGTTACTGAAAAGGCTCACCTTTCAGCATCAAGTTCAAGGAGTCAATCTTTTTTTTTTTTTTCTTTTAAAAGGGGGAGGGAGCAACTGACAGAAGTGCTATTGTCTCTAGTGTAATTGAGCAAAACATTAACATATCCTCCTTAGTCAGTGCTAGAGTTGATCAACAGTATCACAGCTGAAAACACATGCTGTTGCAAACGTAAACTTGTTTTTGTTAAAGTATGCTGTAATGTGGTCAACACATCCAAAAACAGGGGCCCCCTCTATGGTGCTGATGGCGGGATTTATTATTCTGTTATTTAAGGTTACGGTATGTTGCTAGGTCAGGCGAAAGGTCACAGTCCTCAGATATAGCAGAGCCTTAAGAAATATTCAGAAAGACCAACAGTTGTAGGGCACGAAACAAAAATATTATTCAGTCTAGCTCATAAGGTTCTAATTTTCTTGAATTATCCTACGTGTGATAACGGCTTATTCCTGAAGCACACACGCAAGCTCTGTTTACCATTCACAGGCCTCAGAAGTTCCTCCAGTTGAACCTCCTTCCTTAAAACAGAGAAATTTATAAAAGCAAATACCATGTTTCTGAAGCATGCTGGTGTGACACAGTCTTGTCTTTGCAGGTCAGACATACAGCAGATAATGGCAAAGTCAGTTTTCCCACGCTTCCTGTGCCAGCTACTGACATTTTGAAAAATGTGAAAATTTTCATATACTTAAGATAAAAAGCTATTGGCAGTCTTAATTTTGAGGTCATATGTGATATGACTTGGTTATCAGCCTCTTGTGGATTGAAACAACACCATTTATATTGTCCTTTTGATAGGTCATAGCAAATGATCAGCAAAAGTACTTTTCTTGCATTTTTATGAACCCTGTTCCATTTTATATAATGGCTCTTTAGAGGTGTTGAGTTACTATATTAATTCAAAGAAACAGAGTTAGGCCTTTTAACATTAAGTCTGAAATAGCAGAAGCCACCGGTCATTTTTTGCTTTTCTAAGTCTGTTAATAACTGTAAAATAATTTGTTGAAGTTGCTTCTTTGATCATATACCTGTCACCTTGAAATCTTGGCATTAAGAACACTATTGCAAGGCGATTTCTTTCAATCGTTTTCTTCCAGATATCATTTATTTATTTCGATGCTTCTTCAAACTGCAAAATGAAATGTTTAAATACAAAGATGTAAATTTAGAGCTTCTGTTGTATGTCATTCATTCGAGTATACTAAGCCTATAAGTTTAATGTGCCACTAAATAGTACAGACATGAAAACATTAGATGTCTTTAGGTAAAGGATTTAAAGTACTAATTAGCATGCTTGTCGATAAATAAAAATGCAAAAGTAACCATGGGATTTGGACAGCATACACTCAAATTGGTTGAAAAGGTCAATTAAATTTAAGAAAAAATACTGTCAAAATACTTAATTGGTTCATGATGGTTTGTATGTCATTGAGAAGCAATTGTTATGAGACTTGTTGTTTTTGTTATTTTCCCCCTTCTCAGCTACTTGCTATCATTTGAGGTTTCAATTGCTTGACATAGAATTGGTGGATAATTAGTAGTGTGGATAACTGTGAAAAGCATATGTAGTAATTTAATTCTTGGTTCTTTCTAATTGCCTGCCCATCGGTAGTTTGCTAGGGTGAGAGGCTCATTATTCAAACATTGTAAATAGGAAGTATTGTAGAAATAAAAATGCTCTTATGAGTAATATGGTACTGAAAATCAAAACCCTTTAAATTAAGTCATTATTTGACAAGTCTGTCCCCAGAGCCATTGTTCAGATGCTATAAGGTTTTTCAGGCTGTGGGGAGGAGAACTAGGGTTAGCAGGTAGTATTCAATTTTACTGTGTCTGAAATAAAGATGTCATTGTTTTAAGACATGCTAGAGTTAAATGCAATAAACGATGTTGAAATACATTAGTTTACCTAACTGGGCAAACTTCATTGTTAAAGTTAAGCATCTAGTGTTAAAGGACTTTAAGGAAAAAACTATACTATTAATTAAGGTTGATGTGAAGGTCATTTTGACCCTCAAGTGTGCAAACAAATTTTTACAGTAAACCTTTTAGTTACCCTGCAGGAGTACTTCCTCCTGAGTCTAATGTCTTCTGAGGTTGTCAATCCTGTTACTTAATCCATTCATTTTGAAGCATGCTTGGAACTTAAAGGCATGATGTGGTATTTGTGCTCAGCTTCCTTGCAGTCTCTCCAACTTTTTTTATTCTGGTTTCCTTTCCTGTGACAGTTGTCTTTTCTGTAGGCTGTGACTAGAGAAAAGGCTTATTCTCAGGATACAGTGATCTGATTCTCAAGATACTGTCATCTGAAATGCAAAATGTATCTTAGGCAAGGAGGTGTCTGATCGAATTTTATTTGGGTGGTCTTAACCCTTAAGTTTGATCTGAAATACGAGGGTAGATATTTTCCTGAAAAGTTAAAGTTTTCTTCTATTGTTCAAACCTAATAAGATGCTACCAGAAAATGCAATGCTTTCATAGCAGCAGTATGACTTGAAAATTTGAAAGCTCATCAGGAGATGCTTGTCTTTTCCAACAGAATGCTAGATTTGTTCACAGAAGTCCTTCACCTGTCAAAACGCAGTATTTCACATGAAAACTTGAAACACAGAGCACAGTTGTTTTCTTCTCACTTAACATCACATTGTTTCTAGGTTCACGTGATGGGATGAGTACCTAAATGTCCTTGTTTCGCAATATTCCTTTATTCAAGCATATATTTTTGTAAATTTAAAAGTTCATTACAATCACACTTTTGCTTCAGATAATGTATGTTTCAGTTATTTAATCTAATTGCAACCTTAAGGTAAAGGACTCAGGTCCGTTGCATGCTGCTTTCCTATTTGCACCAAGTCTAGATAATGTTCCCAGCTTGCACTAGGTGTAACAGCTAATGGATCTGAATTTCTTGTTTGCAAATAACATGATATCATCTTTTGCTCTTTGTATTTTCTATTGCAAAATAACTTGTAGTGTTTAACTCCCCCTCTCCCCTTTTTCCCCCTTTTTTTTTTTTTTTTTTTTTTTTTACAGATTTGAAGAACTTGTGAAAAAGTTCAAAGTAGAATATCACGCTGGTGGCTCTACTCAGAATTCTGTTAAAGTGGCCCAGGTTTGTTTTTCCTTAAAAATAATTATTTCAAATATTGAGTTGGAATTAACTTGATGCTCTGTGCTGTCTCCTATGAATAATGAGTGCTACTCAATGTATTTGCGTGATTGTGTTTCCCAGAGTATGTTTTTTGGTATATCGTTCACATGATCAATTTCGAAGTTTTACTCTTCTTTCTTTTCACATAGTTTTTGGTAAGGTTGCAGTTACAAGCGTAATTTGCCTAAAAGGGTAAGGGGAGGGGGGGAGGAAGGCTTTTAAGGGAGATTAAGCCAGGCCTTTCTCATAGATGTACAGCAAAAGAGCAAAGAGGCAAGGACAAGGTCCCTAGGTGCAGTGAGGAGTCCTCCCATGGTAAAGAAAAAAAGTGCAAGGGGAATGGCTAAACACAGTTTGCTTAGCAAAGGCTTTGATCACTGTCCGTGGAGGTTTCTGTCACGGGCCAGAATGAGTCCGCAAGCAACTAGATATAAATTTGAGGTTGGCTAAAAGGGACCTGCTTGTTCTGTGATGCTAATCACATTTATCCTGTAGGAACTTGGAAGCTTGTCCATAAAGGATTGAAAGGCAAAGCTTCTTTTATAAAAGGATATTTTTTCTGGCTAGTATGATGAAGAGCAGTAATGATGAATTGGGTTTGAGGTGTAGTTAGATTTTTTTTACAAGTAAAACATGCCTTTTGTCAAAATACTTGTAAAGAAATATAAACTTGTGTAGAAGTATAAAAAGTACATACTCGTGTGTATATTTTTAGATTGTGTGATAGATGTACAAATCCTATAATTAAAAATATACAAACTATATTTATAACCTTTTTGTTAATGATCCTGGCTTATTAACTTCCACACTTCCTATATAATTAAAACTTACTGCCAGATAACATTAAATGAACATTTGGTAGAAATTAAGTTATGAATTAACAAAGGTTCCCCACCACCACCAATAAAAAGGAAAAAAATGTTATACTAGTGGTTGCTGCTTCTTTGTCCAAGTAGTTGCTGCTTTTATTATTTCAGAGTTGGACTCAAACTACCAAAATTGTCTGATACTTGCTTATGGCTGGTACTTTAATGTGCGTGTGGGGTGGGAAGGTTATGAAGAAAACAGAGTGATCCTTTAAATGTGTTCCCAATGCACCTACCGTGGCTGGCTTCTATGAGGAAATATGGCTGGTCTTTTACTGAGGTCTTCATGTTTATAAACCCTAAATGTCTTGTCAAATGTTTCTGTAGAGAAAAATTTTCTCAATAGAGGTAAATCTAAATTGTATGCACTTGATTGTATATAGAATTGTAATTCTGAAATGGCAATTCTTTTTAAATGCAGACGGCTTTCACAGCTTTTTACTTTGCTACTCTGTCATCAAGCCAATTTTGCTTCTGATATTTTAAAAAACAGCAACACAAAACTGTATCAGAAGAGCTCTAACCAAGTAATTAATTGAATTCTGTGTCAGTAAACTGTTGCTTGACCCATTGGTCAACCAATCTCTTCCATGACAGGTGAGTAGAGGTCAACTTTTTGGAGGGAGTTCTGCAACTACTAGTACAGTCACGAAATTCTTACTTCTAGATTGCAGAGGCTTAGAAGAAGCACACGCACATGGTAAATTCAGAATTGCTAACTTTGAAGTGTTCAAAGAGCCTAGGATTTCATTTCCATTTCTCTTTGAAATGACCTATTTGACCTCAGCTAATCTATTTCTAAACTGTTTAAATACCTAACTGCCTTTTAGTGTAGCAGTCAAGGTGTTCAATAATTACACTAGGAAGTGCACAGAATCTGTATAGTGTGAATGGAAAAAAGAAAAAAGATTTAAAGCAGTGAAACATAGAAGTTTATATGTCAATACTCCTTTCTTATGCTGATGAGTTTTTGTCAGTGAGCTTTATCCCTTTACCTTGGCTCTGAGTTGGGAGCCTCATTCAGCTCCAGTTGCCATCTGGAATTGAATTTGTCTCCAGAAGGGTTGTCATCTCCTAGTTTTTGTTTCAAGTAAGATTGAAACTTCAAACAGTTGTGCATGAATAACATAACATCACTAAAAGGCTTTAAAATGAGGGATGGGAGGGTGAGAGAGAGAAAAAGGAATTCTGGAAATCTTAAAAGAAGCTGTTATTCTGTAAGCTTTGGCAGAAGAAGAAACTTGAGGATGAGGGGAAAAGTTTAAACGTAAACCAAAAATTAAAACTAGAAATTCTGGGAGACTTTTTTCAGCAATATTAATTGGAATATTTTTTTATATTTCATATTCCAGTTAGTATTGCTGCAAATATATTTTTATATTTTACAGCAGGAGAAAGCAAAGACTGATTCAAGAAGCCTGAGTGCTGGTTGAGAAGTAAGGGGCCAATAAATAAGTTCAGAGCTCTGAACACTCAAAGTGAATGTAGGTTCTCTCCAAGAACATAAGCAGGGAAGAAATACCAAGAATAAAACTCTTATTAAAACTTTTCAGCTTGTTTTACCTTGTAGGTATACCTTTGGGGGAAAAAAATAATAAAAAAGTGAGATAAAAACTTGAAATTTTGTTTGAGAGTTTTTAAGTTGGTAAGAATAAGAGCATGTTGAAGGAAAGCATCATTGGAAAACTGACTGCAGTGGAATACAACAGTTTGAGTACAATGGTTGGTAATGAGCAAACAGCCTCTGAAGTCTGGCAACTGCTTTTTTTAGAAGTTTGTTTCTGAGTGGGAATAGTGTATTAAGGACTGTAGTAGGAAAATTGGACAACAGTTAATTAAGTGTTTGGAATAGAAAAGGGGAAAAACTTAAGAAGCAGCTAATGAATGGGGGCCATTGAGGTGTTTGTTTCAAATTATCTGCTTCTTTAAGAGTCAGAAAAGCAGCACTATGCTGAAACCAAAATACCCAAAGGCAGAATGAGTGGGCAAACTTAAAGTATTTGTTGCAAAAGGAAAAATGAAACTGTCCATAAGCATGCTTACATGATGTATGGTGATTATCACTTCTGTTAAACGTTCTCATATATTTTGGATATTTCTTTCAATGTATTTTTTTGTCATGCCTGTAAAGATAGGAATACTCTTTGTTGAGTAGATTTCACTGAGGAGAATATTCCTGAGAAGGATAAGACGACTTTTTTTTTTTTTTAAAAAAAAAGAAAGAAAAAGTAGTCGTAGATGTACTGTATTTATTGTGTGTGAGAAATTTGAGATGGTAAGTACAGAAAGAGGCGATAGGAAGAAGCTCTGAGCTATGAAGAAAACTGGAAAGAAAATGAGGCTTAAATCATGGGTTTTGGAACTAAAGGTTTAAAGCAGCAAATATAGTGGAAATGAAGATTGTAAAAGTATACAAAGAATTAACCAGAACTGCAGTCAAGCTGTGAAGAGCAGAATTAATTAGAATTTTCTGGCAACTTAACAGAAATGAAAGATCTAATGTGTGCAGCCTTAAAGACAGATTTTGGCAGGTAAGGTACTAAAGGGAATTTTGGTAATTTTCTTCAATATTGTCTTGCTGTAGGACAGACTTTAAATGTATGGCATGCTGCAGAATCAAGGTATGGTTGGAGGTTTGTGAGAATCAAAAAGCTGATTGCGCCTTGCCCTAAGTGTGCATTGTGGGAACAGGGTTTATTGGCAGGTTTAAAGAAGAAAAAGGTCTAGATGTGGTAAGGACAACAGAAAGGATGCCTAGGGACATGGATTAGTGGTTGACAATGGTAGTAGGGGGATGGTTGGACCATATGATCTTTGAGGTCTTTTCCAACCTTAATGATTCGATGATTCTGTGATTCTATGATTGTTGAAGAAGTGCTTCTGAAGTGCTGTGGATGACACAGATTTCTGAACATGTAATGCAAGCAGAAAGAAACAACTATCAGGGAGGGTGAAAGCTCTGTAAAAAGAAAAGGAAGGAGCAAATAAAAAACAATTTTCTTGCAAAAGAGGTCCAGAACACTGATTTATAAATTGAGGAGATGAAAAATAATGGTCATAGGGATGGAATAAGGAACAGAAACCCTGAAGTATCACTCTTATTTCTTTGTGTAGTGTATTGTATAAGTGTTTTCATAGGTACAATATTTATATGTTTTAATCCCTGAAAATGGTGAAAGGGAAGACCTAAGAAGTACGCTAATAAAGCCACTGAGATAGGATGTTTATATTCAAGTCTTCAGGGCTATCAATCTTGGTTGAACATATGTTGATCTTCAGAAGAGTGAGGAGGTCAAAGTGATTTTGGCTTGACCAAAGTGAAGTTATGAATGAGAGAGTATTCTAGAAATGACCGTAATAGGCATAAAAATGGAAAAGATAACTGAGATTTGAGTTTTCTCATTCCTTAATGAGTTTTAAACAAACCTGAAATTATGTCTTCAAAATATGAATTTACATGAGAAGAATACCGACAGAAAAAAGTGAGGAAAACGGAAAAAGAAAAGTGTGTGAGGGAAAAGACAAAATGGGTCAAGAGGATGGAAAATAATCTGGAAGGAGAAAAACAATATAAAAATCACAACGCTGCTCTTATTCTGTGTCTCTTACTGTCCCAGCCATTTTTCTTTCTTACCAATGTGCTTTCCATTGTCCACTTGCATCTGCAATTTGCTAATACTTTGCTAATTTAAGTTAGTTCATCTGGAAAAGAACAGGTAACCAGAACAGATTGGATTCAAAGGCCTTAAGGAAAAGTAGTCTTGAAAGAATTACCTTCTCCTTTAAGACTTCAGTACTGAGTAGAAAGTTTAGTCAAGAACAGACAGACTATAAAAAAACGGGGAGAGGGAAAGAGAGGTAATGGTAGAAGGTTTTCCTGTGTGCAGTACAATACAGAAAGCAGTTGGAGTCCAGCTTGTCAACAAAAATGCAGGTAATGGAGGCACTACGTTACTGTTAGGCATGGTTGTTGAGATTTTTTTTTTTTTCTTGGCTCACTGTTAGGGAGTGTTAGTAACTTCAAACTCTGGATTGAAGTACTCGGGCATTACTTACTGAATTGCTTGATGGTGCTTTGTGAAATGAGGACTAGAG